GCTGTTTCACTCCCACCTGCTTTTGCACAGAAGAAATATTTCTGGGTTCCTGTCCCTGCTCCAAAGGTGAGTGCTGGTGTCTCAACCCACAGAAAAGCAGAGCAGGGAGTGATGCTGTACACCCTGCCCTTCTCAGACACACATCCTGACTGATTGGCTAGCTAGTCACCCTCATGCTCCTCCTAGGCCAAAAAAAAAAATTTATACATGAAATAGCCCAATTTCAGAGGACAAGGATCCAGCATTCCTTTCCAGAGCAGTTTGTAGATGGACATTATTCTTGCATTTCCCGGGACACAGCTGTAAATATTTCTTCATAAAGGTACGCAGCATTTCTACCACCTGCCTGCGTGATACAGCCCTGATACTCTAAATGAAAGTAGCAGCCTTTCCTCCAAAGGAAAGCCTTAATAAGGATGGTTCCAGTTCTTTGGTTCCAATTCTTTTGTTTGGGTTTGGTTTGATTTTTTTCCCCTTATCATAGTCTACTCATATCGCTAAGCAGTCAGACAAGAACGCAAGGACTGTGAATCTTAAGTAGAGGGAGGCCTCTCCTGGTTACATCAGGTAAGGCACCAACACTCTGAAGCAGAGAGAGATGCAAGATCCCCATCCTAAACATCCTCCCCATTTCAGACACTGCTTCTTCGACTACAGGCCTTAGCAACTCCCTGCACAGTGGCAGAGACAACTCACAGCTACAGAAACCATGTCAATGATAGGGGCAGTACCAGACACCTGTTTAACATCGACGTCAGTAGAGCAGGAGTTGAAATAGAAGCGATTTACAGTTGTATTGGTGTTGCCTAGCACTAAATCTTGTGGGTAAGGAACACTCCTGTGTCTTTCAGAAGCCACTTGAAATTCATGTGAAAGTAGTGCAGTTCCCCGGTGAGCAGAGGCTGCAGTAATCCCACAGTAAGACACAGGTATAGGTGCTGTAGAGATGTCAGCCAGTCCACATAGCCTGGATCCAGGCTTTGAAATACAAAAGCAGTTACAAACTGCTGCTGTCTCAGATTGTTCAGTCAGAAGAGGAGCTTAAAGCATCATAAGGCAATACTGTATTTCTAGTTGAGACAACTAAGTTGTTTCCTGTCCTGATAACAACCAGAGTTCTAGTTATTCTGTGCACACTCAGCTGAAAAAACACAGCTTTTCTTAAACATCAATGCTAATGCAAGTTTTAAGACTTTGAGGAACGTGAGATTTTTCCACCTATGTCACTCTGGACAACAGAAAGAATAAACAATCTTGCACTCATTTAGAGATGACCTAATTTAAAAAAAAAAATAAAATAAAAATCTTTATTTCCAATTTATGTTAAATAAAATAAAAACCAACCCTGGGCTCAAGCCCTTTCGTTTCAGATCCCAAGGAAACACACATACATCCTTGTTGCAAAAAACTGATGGCATGTTGTACTTCTATCTGCCTCTCAAAGTCTGCAGCTCACTGGTTTTTACTATCCTGTTTCTTTGATCTAATCAGAAAAAGCCCAAACCCAACTCTCTCATGGTGTCCCCTTTTTTATGGAAAAACATGAAGTATTTTAAAGGAACTAGTCTTACTTCTATTTACTTTCCCCTATCAATTTTCAGTTGACTTTAGATGTGATGCTGAGACCAGAAAACTTTAATAAGACTGCTTCATAAAGAGTCCCAAAGAGGAAATAAATGCACAGCCTCCAGCCCACCCAAATGCATTCTCTGCAACTTATTTTTACCATTTGTAAAGGAAGTCCTATCAATCCCACCAAGTACATGCCTTAACTGATAATGCTATTTAACTAAGCAAGACACATTCAGAAGGCAGAGGTAAGGATTCAGGGGAAAACCACACTTCTGTTCTAGATACCTGAGGAAAAGTATGTGCCCTTCTGATCAGAAGCAGCTTTGCAATATGGTGTAATACATGCCTATTCTGAAGCTAATTTTTCAATTAGTCAAGATGAGCTTTCCTACATATGAAGAAAACTTAGTTCTTGAGGAAACCCTGACCATTACATTTAAGCAACAACTACAGAAACAGACAAGAAGCCCAAGAGTGACCAGTTTCTTTGTGTTCCCCTTTACTACTGCTCTAAATAATCTACTGAATTCTGTCTTGATCATTTGTTGCTACTCCACAGGAACTATGCTTGCAACTATTTTTGTTTTAGCTAAGAGGACACTTCCCAGTTACTAATCTTTGTGTAAGCCTTTATATTTCCAGTAAACTACAAGTTTCTGCAATTGGTCTGTGATACAGTTGCAGCAGCAAAAGGTTGCGAGCCTGTGTTTCTGACCACTGACAGACAAACCCTAAAAACAGAATGGGAATTACAGAAGCCTTCAGCAAATACAGCAGCTATGCATAACACCCAGTGGCACACCAGGGAGCTGAAATGCAGCAGAGGCAATGTATATTATGGCTGTTGGCTTGAGCACTTTTTAGCAACTGGAGCTTGAAGGTGTTGTTGTACACCACCAATGGTGTACACCATTCCTTACAGCTTAGTAAGGCACACAGGAAGCAGTCTGGCTGTGGGATCCCCATTGCTATGAAAATCAGCCAGTTGCAGATTATTTCCAAAACCATTAAACGCAAGTTTGTTTCCCAAAGAGAACACAAAGAGTCACTTACCATCTAACTCCTCTGTGTTTTCATCCAAATAACCCCTCACTGTATGAATGTCCTGAGCCATATATCCCATCTTTGACTTAAGATTCACATTTGTTTTTCTTTGATGGAGGAGATTATCGTGGATGGGAAATAGCCCTGTCAATCCTTTTGTATGGGACAGCAATGTCACGGCAGTAGATGGGGGATGGAGAGGGGTATTAAAGCAGAAATCCTGAAGGCATCTGCCTGAGGAGTTTGTTATCATATGCAAAAATAATCTGGGCAGTCAGAATTAACAGTGACAGTTTCTGAGACCTGTGCAGCCAAGTCCAACTCAAGGAAATTTTTCTCTACTCAGAGAAAACCACAGATACATTTTTGCAAGCAGATAATTCAGAAGCCCTGACATCCGCAACTCCTGGCGCAGATGTTTGGATCATCTGCCTAACCAAATGCTGTTAAAATAGGACACTTAACCCTGTGAGTCAGCCCTGATATCTCCACCTACAAACTAATTGGAAACTAAACAAATAATAAACAAACAACAGGACAGAACACCCACTCAAGACATCAAGGAGAGAGACAACTGCACTGAGAGCTCTGGCTTTAGTTCATTTTCACTCATCTCTGCACACAGAATCACTAAAAGAGTAATTAATAATGATCAGTGGTTTAGAAACATACTTTACAAGAACAATACAAGACCAACAGGTGAGCCACTTAAGTTGTTACTCTCTTGATGTCATCAGCACTGTCACCATCAGCTTCATCTGGCTGCAAAGTACATCTGAGAATGAGCCACAGAATGTTACAAGTCTAGACTAGACATGTATGAAAAAAAATCAATCCTTTTCACCTTTATTCAAATAATTAAGCTTTTGGGTTTGTGAGATTAATTTCTCCATATAGTGACATGAACAGTTATTTCTTTAACTAAAAACACAGTCACCTTATGCCTGGAATATAAGTTTAATACAGCATTGTACATCAAGTATGGCAATAGCTTAACTACACAGCACACATTCTCAGCCTACAAATGCTAGGAGAGGCATTTGATACATGCTGTTAAATTATTAAATTATTATTTCACTATAGCACGAAAAGGAAAGATCACCACAGGAGAATAAGACTGTTTAGTGGCTCTACTATTCACCAACTATGCTGACGAAATAAGTATTGTGTTAATAATAATGTTATTTAGCTTCTTGTAGCAAGGTACCAAAGAAAAAGTTCACTGTATACGGGGTTTGTTCATTTATTTTTCTGAAGACGCACAGAAAAGAAGAAATCAGAAAAGTAAACAACTCAATGTTTTTAAGATTTGCAGGCTGGTTTAAACAAAGTGGAGAAGGTGAAAAATAAAAAGGTAGGGGGAACCAGCCACAAAATACAATAAAGCTTTATTGCCAAGCCCTTCACAGTGCAGTGTGAGTTTTCATGGAAAGCACATGCTGTAGCTATACATGCTGTAACAAGTATGAGGCAGAAGTCAAAACAAAACAAAACAGAAGCCTAAAAATAAATTGCATATGCACTGCTTGAACTTCCTTTGTCAGAGACTTTTGGAGAGTAGATCGGCTCTTCCCTCAAAGGCTTTTGGAAATGGAAGTGAAACAGCCCACATAAAAGAGCAGACACTTTGTAACAATAACCAAAGACCCTCACCCAGTCTGAACCATGTAAATCTCTTCCTAAGTGCTAGTTCTGATAGACATTGCATGATTTACTTCAGCTACCCTATATAAGAAGAGCATTCCTACAGCAATCCCAGCCTCCCTGACACAGGGAAACACAAGGAACCAAGACGGGCTTACTCACTGCTGTTGACAGGAAAGAGACTCGAGACTACGTAACTCAATAAACTTGGTCCTCTAAGCCTAACAGCCAATCAGCAATGAAAGGGTATTTTCCCTTCTCATATACCACCCCTGTTCCATCAGTACATTCCCTGACTTGTAACCATCAATCCCAGAAGTCTGAAGTGATAGAAAACACACTTCTTGGCTACAACTTTGAAATGATGATCCAGGTATTCGAGTGCATTATTTTGTAACCAAGTAGCACTATTTAGGTGTCTCAAACACATCTACCACCTAAGAAACACTGTTGCCTCATTTCCCGTACACTGGTATTCGAGCATAGGGGAAGGGTGACAAGAAGGAACAGCACACACATGCACACCCCCAAGCCACAAAGCAGCCCCGAGAGCCAGGACTCAGCTTTTGGGGCTGGGCAGCTGATGTTACAGCGCCTGTTTTATGGGGGAAAGCAAATCAGTGGAAGCTGCAAGGTCGTGGTGCCGACACTCCGCGTTCCAGAAAGCCGCAGGGCAGGTGCCTAGCGAGGTGGCCCGAGGGCGCGAAAGGCCCCGGGCAGGCGGACGGGCTGGCACTTACTTCTGGGGGGCCGCCGCCGTCAGCCCCGCGGCCACCGCCGCCCGGGCCTCGAACTCCTCCCGTCGCAGCACGTCCCCGGAGCCGCGGAAGCCCAGCTCCACCAGCTGCCGCACCACCGCCTCGCTCTGTGGGAAGAAGACGGGCAGGGAGCTCGGTTAGCGCCGGGACAC